CATAATCAGGTGAATGAGACTGCACCGTCCCCCACAGGAAGGCCAGCCACCATGGTACAACCACTGGAGCTGACCCTAGCCCAACCTGACACCTTTTTGTGTTCCCTAGGTCCCTCACAGTCCAGTGAACACTACCTACCACAGGTGTTGAAAGGTCTTGAGATATAGGACTCCCACATGAACAATGTTGTCCTAGCTCTCGGGACGGATAAGTCCGCCATCAGCCATGACCTCTATGAGGTCTTGTTACAGGATCGCTGTGACCTCCAGATGGTTAAAAAGTCTTTCCGCTTCCCAAATGACCCAAAATCTTTTCGTGTCTTAACAAGTGGGGGCATCTGTGTCCTCAAAGTCAAATGGAATCATAAGAAACTGACACATCCATTTCTTGTGGTCCCAAACTTGCCTCATGCTGTGTATATAGGCAGTGACATCTTAGTCCGACTTGGTGTTCAAGAATCAGAATCAGAATCAGTTTATTATTGCCATGTCAATGAACGAGGTTCACAAACTAGGAATTTGCTTCGACATAAGGTGCGAATAGTAATAAAGTAAAATAAAGTAAAAATAAAGTAAAAATTAAGTAAGAATGAGAACATTACATAAGACATAAGACCTGTGTACACCCACAAATAAAGTAAAATTAAAAACATAACATAACCATATGTATACCCATACAATAGAAAACAATAAAAAAAAGCTTAGAGAACAGTACAGATGGAGCATTCAATTATAATACAGATGTAATGTGACCAAAGCAGAAGTTATGAGGTAGCATTATGAGTGTTCAGGAGTCCAACAGCAGTGGGGAAGAAACTGTTCTTATGGCGGGAGGTTCTGGTCCGAATAGACCGAAGCCTCCTGCCTGAGGGGAGTGGTTCAAACAGTCCGTGTGCAGGGTGAGCAGGGTCAGCTGTGATCCGACCTGCTCGCCTCACAGTCCTGGAGACGTACAGGTCGTGGAGGGATGGAAGGCTGCAGCCGATCACCTACTCAGCTGAGCGCACAACGCGCTGCGGTCTGAGTCTGTCCCTGGCAGTGGCCCCGGCGTACCACACCTTGATGGAGGAGCTGAGGATGGACTTGATGATGGCCGTGTAGAACTGCACCATCAGCTTGGCCGGCAGCTTGGCCTTCTTCAGCTGTCGCAGGAAGTACAGTCTCTGCTGGGCCTTCTTGATGAGGGAGCTGATGGTCGGCTCCCACTTGAGGTCCTGGGTGATGGTGGTGCCGAGGAACCGATAAGAGTTTGCAATGGTGATGGGGGTATCATTACAGGTGAGGGGGGGCAGAGGGGCTGTGGCTTTCCTGAAATCCACAATCATCTCCACTGTCTTCTGGGCATTGAGTTCCAAGTTGTTGCTGTTGCACCAGGTCACCAGCCGGTCCACCTCCCTCCTGTATGCAGACTCATCACTGTCCGAGATGAGCCCGATGAGGGTGGTGTCATCTGCAAACTTAATAAGTTTCACAGAGTCATGGCTGGAGGTGCAGCAGTTGGTGTACAGGGAGAAAAGCAGGGGGGAAAGCACACAGCCCTGTGGAGATCCTGTGCTTATAGTCCGAGTGTCCGAGACAGCTCTCCCCAGCCGCACGCACTGACTCCGGTCTGTCAGGAAGTCTGTGATCCACCTGCAGGTGGAGTCAGGTACATGGAGCAGGGAGAGCTTGTCTTGGAGCAGAGCAGGGAGGATGGTGTTAAATGCGGAGCTGAAGTCCACGAACAGGATCCTGGCGTAGGTTCCTGGGGAGTCCAGGTGCTGCAGGATGAAGTGAAGAGCCAGGTTTATTGCGTCATCTACAGACCTGTTGGCCCTGTAGGCAAACTGCAGGGGGTCCAGGAGGGGGTTGGTGATGGACTTGAGGTGAGATGAAACCAAGCGTTCAAAGGTTTTCATGACTACAGATGTGAGAGCTACAGGTCTGTAGTCATTTGGTCCTGTGACACGTGGATTCTTGGGGACAGGGACGATGATGGAGGACTTGAAACAGGCTGGGACGTGGCATGACTCCAGAGAAGAGTTGAAGATCCCTGTGAAGACCGGAGCCAACTCTCCAGCACAATGTCTCAGCGTGGAGGGTGACACAAGGTCTGGGCCTGCAGCCTTACGTGTATTCAGCCTTTTAAAAAGCCTCCTTACTTCATCCTCTTGTACAGAGATAGCAGGGGGTTGTCGGGGGCAGTCCCAAGTGGTTAAACCAGTTGAGCTGGGGTTGGTGTGGAGGATGGAGGAATGTGAGTCCATGACTTCAAAGCGTGAATAGAAGTCGTTCAGATCGTTTGCCAGTTTGAGATTGTCTGTAGAATGAGGTGCTCTGGGCTTGTAGTTAGTTATCTCTTTCAGCCCCCTCCAGACAGAGGCAGAGTCATTTGCAGAGAACTGTTGTTGCAGCCATGCCATGTACCTGGATTTAGCCTTCGACACCTCCCTGCTAAATCCATACTTCGCACGTCTGTAGTTGTCTCTGTCCCCCTCTCTGAAAGCAGCCTCCTTCTGCTGACAAAGCTTTCTTAGTTTGGATGTGAACCAGGGTTTATCATTATTGAAAATCACTCTGGAGCGTGATGGGATGATGCTGTCCTCACAGAAATGTATATATGACGTCACAATGTTTGTGTATTCGTCTAGACTGTCTGTAGAAGCCCTGAACAGGTCCCAGTCTGTGGTGTCCAAACACGTGCGTAGCTCCTCCACAGCTTCACTGGTCCATTTTTTGGATGTCCTCACCACAGGTTTTGAGAGCTTCAGTCTCTGTCTGTATGCAGGTATGAGGTGAATCATCTCATGATCTGAGAGACCCAGGGCAGCACGAGGCACAGCACGATAAGCACCGCTCACTGTGGTGTAACAGTGATCCAGCGCGTTTCCTTCTCTGGTCGGGCATTTAATAAACTGTTTATATTTAGGTAGTTCATGCCTGAGGTTTGCTTTGTTAAAATCTCCAAGGATGATAACAAGGGAGTCCGGAAAAGTTCGCTCTACACTCGTAATCTGGTCCGCGAGCGCGCGCTCAGCCTCGTGCACGTCCGCGCACGGTGGGATGTAAACAGCGGCCAGAATGAATGAAGTAAACTCATGTGGAGAGTAGAACGGTTTGCAGTTTATGAAGAGATATTCCAGAGAAGGAGAGCAGTGCTGGGAGATCACTGTCACGTCGGAGCACTAGGTGTTGTTGATAAAGAAACAGACTCCTCCGCCTTTCTTCTTTCCTCCGGAAAGTTCCCGCTGTCTGTCAGCGCGGAGGAGCTGGAAACCCTCCAGATGGAGCGCGGAGTCCGGGGTCTGCTCCTTGAGCCATGTCTCCGTGAAGCACAGCACACAGGAGGAGGAAAAATCGCTGTTCCTTCTCATCAGCAGCGCTATCTCGTCCATTTTATTGTAGAAGGAAGGGATGTTGGAGAGAAATATCCCAGGTAAAGGCGTGCGTGTACCGCGCCTCCGGAGACGCATGAGCACTCCAGCTCTTCTGCCCCTCCTGCGAAGTCTCACTCTTTTGGCCAAAAAGTGCACAAGTTCTGCAGCAGGCACTAAAAAAACTGGAGTAATGTCCTCATGGGTTGTAATTCTGATGTTTAGTAGCTCCTCGCGAGTGTAGGAGCATGCAGACACATGATTAATACACAAAAACAGAAAAAACAGAGCGCACCAGAATGCCAGGGCGACCGTACATGGCGCCATCTTGGATCAGTTTAAGTGGACACCATCAACAATGTTTTGTGATCCCTAACAGCTGTCCCTCAGGACGCACTTATACCTGATCTGGACAATCTCCGATCTGGACAGACAATCCCTGAAGCTTGTCAGGTGGCCAACAGTCAACACATTATGGTACCGCTCATACTCAAAACAAACCCATGCTAATAAACATCCTAGTAGGACAAACTCTTAGATATTCACAGGCTTTCTTCCAACCTGCCCCACTCTTCTTCGACTTAGGACTTTCATTAGAGGCCACACCCCTCCTGGGCCTCAACTCCAGGACTTCCTGCCTTTCCGTCTGTAACACCAGTGCGGAAGACATCCTGATTCCTAAGTCCACTCCATTAGGTTGGCTAGTAAGCACTAGCTTCCATGACTTCGAGTTGAATGTACCCATCCTGGGAGACATTCCAAACTCCCTCCTCCCTGATCATTGTACTGAACAAGTTTTGTATACAAAACCATCCAAAGCCATTGCCCTTTTCTCAATCACTGATTTCGACCATGACGCTGTTAGACGTGTGGACCTCACCAACAAGGACCAGACAGTGTTGCAAACCTTCTAAGTAATGTTGATGAGTATGACCAAAGAGACTCCAGACACACCTGTAGAGTCACCATCCTTTGAGCTCCACCCTTCGGTCCGATCACAGATTGAACAAGTAGTTTCCCATGCCGGCACTCTGACCAATGATGAAGAAAGAGGAAAAACTTTGCCAAGTTCTTCTCAAATATGGAGTCCTTCTCAGTTGACTCTTTAGACTGTGGTTTGACTTCAATCCACACCGTCCGCATACCAACTCCACCTAATTCTCCTCCTACTTATGTGCCAGTACAAGATTCCATTGGCAGCCTATGAGCCCGTAAAAGAAATCATTGACAACCTTTTGGAGAAAGGAATAATCAGGCCATGTAACAGCACTTACTCTGCACCTTTGTGGCCTGTTCTCAAACCCAATGGAAAATGGAGACTCACCATCGACTACCGGAAGCTGAACCAACAGGTTCCTCTTTCCAGATGGCCGATGACCCAACTCCAACAAGAACTTCCTAAGGTGATCAACGCCAAGTTCTTCTCCACGCTTGATGTAGCTTCTGGGTTCTGGACGATCCCAGTACATATAGCCGATCAACATAAATTGGCGTTCACCTTTGCCAACCGCCAGTACACCTTCACCAGGTGTCCCTTTGGCTATTCAAACTCACCAGCTGAGTTCAACATCTTTGTAGATGACATCCTTCTACACCAACCCACGCTTGACTCTCACTTAGCTGAGCTTGTCCATGTGCTGAGTCAACTCACAGCTGTTGATGCAAAGATCTCACTTTTGAAGTGCCAGTGGTGCAAAGCTAATGGAATATGTCGGTCTACTAGTCGGTCCCGATGGTGTGCAACCCCAACTTAGTAAAACCCAAGGCTTTACCAACCTTAAGACACCCTCCAACCTGAAACAACTTTGTAGTTTTCTTGGTGTTTGTAACTACTCACGCCAGCCAGTTCATAAAGAACTACGCTGATCTGGCAAAACCTTTAACCAAACTCCTCAAAAAGGATGTGCCTTTCCAGTGGTCTGATGTACAATAGCAAGCCATGGATGCCCTCAAGGCCAAGCTGTGCACAGCACCATGTCTGGCATACCCCAACAGTGACAAAGACTTCCACCTTGAAGTGGGTTTTTCAGCTCACTGCTTGAGTGCTGGTCTGTACCAACTCTATGACCAAGACAAACGTGTAGTAGCCTATGCCAGCAAAACCTTGGCAGGACCTGAACTGAAATACGCTGACTGTGAGAAAGCACTGTTAGCCACTGTGTGGGCAGTGAAATACTTCTCTAACTACCTAGGTGGACGAAAGACTATTGTGGAAACACAACACCAACCAGTAACTTTTCTTAACAGCCAACGTATCAGAGATGGTGTGGTGACAAACGCACACGTGGCTTCATGGCTTATGGCCTTGCAGAGTTTTGACATAGAAGTTCACTATGCTCAAAACAAGAGAACCCCTCTGGGCACAGACTTGGCAGCCTGCCAACAGTGCACTCAGGATGGCCCTTTGGTACAGACACCTGTCGAACATGCCACCGCCTTTGAAGACCCACATCCTCAATACTTTGATGAAAATGTTTGTAAAGATATGACAGCTGTGTATGTGGATGGATGTTCCTTCTACCACAACACTGTTATCAAAGCTGGTGTAGGTGCCGTGTGGTTCCACAATGGTGAACAACACACCTTACATTTTAAACTAGACCCACAATCATCACAATACGCTGAAATTGCAGGCATATTGATAGCATTGCAAACCGTAGTAAAACACTCTGTTCATACTTTGGTGATCTGCACAGACTACAATTATGCACGCCTGAGTTTCTCTTGCCACCTTGCTGCGTGGAAACGTAAAGGCTTTCTCACGTGCAACAATAAAGCAGTGAAACACAAGGACTTGTTCATGGCATGTGAGCACTTGGTGACATCTCACAACCTACAAATCTTTTGGAAAAAGGTCAGAGGCCACTCACGTGTGCCAGGACAGGACAAAGAGCTTAACGATCTCGCAGACTCATTGGCCAAAAGAGGTGCCATAAATGGTACCCGGTGGTCTTTTGACCCCTTTTGGCTGCCGGCTCATGTCCCAGACCCTCCCTCCCCAGAGGTGTGTACTCTCACACGTTCTCGTGCTGAAGCGTCCATCTCTGCTGCTCCACAACCAGTGAACAACACAGTTTCAGTGGAACCAGCATTTACGGACAAGGACCTCATGGAACTTCAGTCTCTGGATCCAGCCATCGGGAAAATGATTCAGTACCTGGAGGATCCAGACACTAATATTCCTTCCTTGACCAAACTTGACTCTGACCCTAAGCTACGTACTCTTTTTAAGGTTCGCTCACACCTGAAAATGGTCAAAGGCATGCTTGTCTTTGCTCCCGATCCAACATCCTCACCTTCGCTCGTTGTGCCTCGTGACCACAGGGGGGTGATGCTGGTACATGCCCATGACCTTCTGTCTTCAGGACACAAAGGCGTCAAAGCAACTCTCAATGCGGTAAAGCAAATTGCTTTACCAACCTAGTGAAGCCAGTGTGACAACAGCCTACACAACTCACCAGTACATGAAAAATCTGAACCAACACCTGAAAACCACATTTGCGTTTGCTCAAAAACATCTTAACAAGACAGCTGAAGGGTGAAAAGCCTACTATGACCAAAAAGCCTCCTACGAAGAACTCCAAGTGGGGGAAAAGATCTGGTACTACATCTTCACCCCAGCTACTGGACAAAAAGCGTCCAGAGCTGGAACACTTACTCGCAAACTTCTTCCAAGGTGGACTGGACCACACCTGATAACGGACAAACTGTCCCCAGTTGTATACCGAATCAGGATCAGCAGAGGTCAGAAAGAACCTGCCTTCAAGTGGGTCCACCGAAACTAGATCAAGCCACACAAGGCTCAAACAAAAACAATCAACAAGACAGAATCTGTAGAAGATTAAACAACACAATTCCTCTAAACAACAGCTTAGATTATAGATTTTCAAAATGTATTTTACCTCACACAAATAGGCAACGTATAACTCTAAGATCTAATAACAAACTTGACAAACATAACAATTTCCTTGACCACTGGATTGCACCAAAGTATGATTATTTAACATGAAAGTCACAATTCCCTTGAAAACATATTTTAATATGGTGTATTAATTCAATTCAATTCAATTCAAAAATACTTTATTAATCCCAGAGGGAAATTATTTGTTGTTGTAACTCGTTATCCTCATTTCATTAAGAGATGTTATAGATGCTGATGGCTGTAGACAAGAAGGATCTCTTGTAAAGGTCCATCCCACAGTGGATCCTAAGAAACTGGCTGCAGATGCCGTCCGATCCGTCCACCCAGACTCGGCTGACCTCTCGGTTCCCCTCAGGCTGTAGGACCGCCCAAATGCTGGGCAGAACTCCTCCCAGAGTGATGGCCACTCCTCCCAGCAGTCTGCCAAGCTCCTCGTAGCTGCGGACAGCCAACTGTAGGTGCCGAGGGACGATCCTGTCCTTCTGCTGTCATGATCTGTGTTTCCTGCTAGTTCCAGGATCTCAGTGGTCAGGCACTCGAGCACAGCCGGCAGGTAGATGAGAATCCATCCACAGAGCACCCTTTTCAACTCACTTGAGATTTGGGGCTGTAGTTGAGATATTATTTGAGCTTTTGAGATGTTAATCAGTTGCTGTTGGTTGTAGAAAACTGCTTTGTTGCCATGGTTACGCATCATAACAAATGTCCAAAACTAAAAAAGTTTCAGTAAAAATCCTTCCAGCTGCACAGCATCTGATACCAGAGGAAACAATCATCCAAAAAATTGTGATGTATATCCAGAAAAAAGAGGAATTAAAGTTTCCAAAAGCAAAATCTCAGAATGAAAGTAACAGAGCTGTTCCAACATGCAGCCACCTGGAGCGGCGCAATTCAATTCAATTAGAATTAGAAGTGTTGTGCTAATGTCATCCCATTTCTGTTCCCCTCAGGACCAGACTGTTATAGATGCTGATTATGCTCATGCTCAGTTGATCACCACACTGTTAACCAGTATGCTTAGAGAGATCGGATCCTCCAATGACACTTTAGCTATTGGCCGAATTCCACCGTACTTAGTCTCTCAGGACATGGTCCAAGAGATCCTTGCTACAACTACCACAGAGAGAGTAACACCAACCCAGGCCCACCTAGCATACACGCTCGGTATCTCAATTCCACTTCATGTTGACCCAGAAGCCCGCAAAATCGCGTTCCTCATAAATCTACCCATTATTTCTACAAACAATGTTTACAGGCTAAAAGACGTCAAATGTTGGAAATTGGAACGGAGAAACCCATGTCAAAATCAATACACCAATCGTCGTGGCCTACCATGATAATACTCCTAAGCTGTATCTTGCTCCAAATTTGAATATGTGTATCCTTATTCGAGACATACACTATCTTTGCCCTAGCAAGCCGTTCATGCGTGACAACACCGTCGGCATTTGCGGTATTGACGCAGTATCAAAAGACTCTAAATGCACCACCACTTTGACCCCACGTCACCAAATTACTATGACCCAAGCAGAAATAGATGGGTCCCGTTGGTTAGTTAACACCCCAGCAAGATATACTAAAATAGCTTATGACCAACACGACACTTCCACCCGTGGTAATCTCCCAGCAAAACCAATGTGGATTACAGTTCCTGAGGGTGCTATAGTTCACATTGATGAAGTCACCCTTTTTTACCTACATCCAGATCAATATGAAACTGATCTCAAAGTCCCTGACTTCTTTAGGAACTTAACTTTAGAACTAGATGCGAAAACCATTGAACATCTACAATTCCAGGGCACCAAGACCATCGACGTAGGACCAGTAGATCAAGTGCTGAAAGAAATAACAACACACTCTAAAACCCCGGTCCAAACCCTAAGCTATGCATGGTCTAGAGCTGACACTTTGATTATGGCTTTAGTTATCTTAGGATATTTTAGTACCGCAGTTATTATGTTCTTGTATCTCCGCCGTACTAGGTCTCTGCAAGGTCAAATCAACAAATGTACGATCCATTTGTCCAAATTAGTTAGACGTAAGAGAACCAGACTCCCTCAGGCAGTCTTAGAACTCGACCAACTAGACGACGAGGGAGACGAGTCGACCAGCTCATATGCCCCTGGAATACTGGAACTTACCAACATCCCTTAGTTCTAAGCTTCCAATCTTTGTTTTATTTTTTTTTCCAAATTCTCCTCTTGCATGTTTTATGCCCCTTGATATTTAACCATTAGATTAGACTCCTTTTGTTCCACGCGTGCGTATACAAAAGTTGAGGCATTAGAATTTTTATTTACTCAAATAAACTTAGAATGATTTAGTTGGTCATATTAGTGACATTACATTTGCATGTTTAAAGATGTTTGACTTTACTTATTCCGTTATACAAGGAATAATTTAGACAAGTAGTTAGAAGGGCACCAGAAATCATCAAATGAGTACTATCCTACTGCATCATCCTGTGGTCCAACCCCACGATCCAGAGAGCGACATCACTGTAACCTCCGGATAAAGCTTGTACTTCACATGGAATACCTGCTGACTTCCTGTTTCCTGATGGAATATCGTTGATCTTCTTATTTCCTGATGGAGTACCTTTGATCTTCCTGTTTCCTGAGAGAATACTGTGGATTTAATTTTCTTGTGTGGAATTAATTTTTTTGTATAACCTCTCACTTGGAATAACCTGGATTAATTTTTCCCTTGGAACTATTCCTTTTGACTTTGTATGGAATAACGTTAACTCATTTCTCCTTTCCTGCCTTGGAGTTACTGACTTTGACTTTTGGAATCCATCTCAAGACTTGTTAGAACCCTTCTGATATGTGGATGCTGTTTGTTGCGATTCACCAACCACGGAACGGGTTGTAAATTGCAAAGTGGGGGATATGTAGGGAGACATCAAGGTTTTTCTATCATTAACTTTTATTCTTTTGATACTTTGAAAGTAAGACTGACTCTCCATTCACAAAGCTGGACAGTAAGGAACCACATGTTATCATATAAGATGAATAATAAAAACCTGTTATTGTAATTAATTGCACACCTTGTATTAGGATTTCAGCAAAACTGAAAGGTCCTTTTGTATGAGAACTTTTCTATCTGACCTGTGAACTACAACATCTAAAACGTACGCTTATCTCTTCCGAAAAGGGAGGATTCATCCTCCAGTTTGAGAGTGTGAGAAAGACCCCATTGTTTTTCAAGGACTCTTCTTTCCATCTCACGGTAGAAATTGTTTCTTTAACAAGTTAAATGTCTGAGTTCTCCTGAACACAATTGAATGTTTTGCTGTAAAAATGGCTAAGTTAATTTACTTTCTAAGCTCAATACTCAGTAATCATGCATAAAAGGAATTGATATAAAACTGGTGTTCAGAAGTTACAACTGTGTGCATAAGTTCTAATGAAAATGTTTACGGATGAGTAAAAAGCTGCTTAGAAGTTTGATTATTCTGTTATATTGAGAATTTACCAAAGCAGAGTAAATTAGCTATTTAATATTTTTATTAAGGTTATTAAAATTCAACAGTAACTTGAAAGAAGGTCCACCCTTCTGTCGTAATTGGCTAGACCATCACATTGTAACGCCTCTAAGTCAAAGAAATTTATTTCCTGACTTTTGGCTTAGAGCAGTCTGGAAGAAGCTTTTGAAGAAGTAAGGACAAACAAGTGGATATTTATTGCCAGAAGATCTTTGCCACCAGAAGGAGAAAACGCAGCCCTCCAGTAGCTCATCAA